CATGGCAACGGCGGGAGCAGAGCGAGAAGGGGGGAGGGACGGGGGCGGAATTGGGGAAAGAGATGCTCAGAGACCGAGACATACTGGCAGAGGTAAAGGCACGAAGTTGGAATAAGTGCTAGCTATAAAAAGGCACCAGAGTGCATAGGGCCTGGCACGTAGTAGGCATTCAGTGTTTCTTCAATTTATGCGGGAAGAGCCTAAATATAGGCAATGAAAATGGAGCGCTTCCTACCCCACCCAGAACTGAGGAGGAGGAGGGAGTGGGAGTCATGTGCCCCCTGCTCGATAGAACCTCCTGGGCTACCCTCCCCTGCCCTGGATAAAGTTGAACCACAACTCCTAGCAGCACCATTTAGCAGCAACCCTCTAATACGGAGGGAGCTTGTGCCTCAAGGCCTTCTGGGAGTTGGAGTCACCACTATCCCAAGGCAGACAAGTTTCCCGGCTAAGGAATGAGTCTTCACACCTCAGAAAGACCCCAAATGCGTGACTCTCTACGCAAGCCTACTCCCTTCCAGGATGCCCAGTCCTGCACTCCATCGGAGAAGCAAGAATCTGAAGGGGTGGGGGTTGGGGATGAAAAGAGAATAGCTACCAGTGCAAGCAAGTCCCTCACCCTCATTCGCATAATACATGTTCACGTGTCGGAAGCAGAGCCCACACATTCCAAACAGGTTTTCTATGAACACCAGTATAAAGGTGACCACAATCAGGGAGTTTCAGAGCAAGGGGCAGGCTATGAGCAGGAGTCAGAAAAGGCAGAGGACCAGAGCGATATTATGCAGAGTGGGCCAGAGAGACTGAGGCACAAAAAGATGCTGAAACTGCAGTAGGAGTGAGAGAAGACAGAGGTAGAAAGGAGCCTGGAAAATGCCCAAAGTCCATTGAAAGAGGAACGAGGAAGTTGTTCTGGGGAGGGGGCAGAGGCTCTGGACTTGAAAGATCCTCAAACCCCCAATCTCTTCCATCCACACTCACACGTGAATAAGGCATGTGTACATACATGTGTGAGTTTGTGGTAAAGAACATGTGTGTCCTCAGCTCCCTCCCCTGAGAAGCTGCAATTCCCACTAAATATAACCCCCTCCCCAGCCTGTGACTCACTCGGACCCCGCCTCCCCCGGCCCCCACTTCCTGTCCCACCCCCCAGCCCCCAGCTGCCTGCCACCCGCCCAAGCCTCCTTCCACACTCCGGGCTTCCAGCTTTCCAGTCCCAGAGTCTCCCAACAAAAATCTACCCAGTGTTTTGCATCCTATCCAAGATCTCCTGCCCTTTCCAGGGACAGGCACAAATCCTTGACGCCGCTTGCCTGGCCCTCCTCTGACTTCTTTTCACCCAGTAACCTGGGTCAGAAGTCCTCAGGGACCCTTACTGCTAGGTGTCCTCCCTTATCCCAAGCGCCAGGGGAGTAGCAAGAACATTCCCCCATCTTCTCTCCCTTTTTCTCAACCAAGGGTAGACAGATAGATACAGTGTAGGAGGAGAAGAGGATACTGGGCACCTGCCTGAGCCACCCTAAATTTCACACCATCCACCTAGTCCCCTTCCTTAAATCCTCTCTCTCCCAAACATTTTCTTTCTCCTTAGGAGCTAAATAATCCCAGGTGCTGAGACCTCCATCTCCCTTGGGAGTATCCCAAATCTTAACCTCCCCAGGCCCATTCCCTCAGGTGATCCCACAGCAGGCCTCTGACAACTCTATCCTCATTTCACATAAGATCCCCAAATCAGCTGTGCTCTCCAACTAAAGGTGTACCCCAACTGTATTTTGTTTGGTCTGTAGTCGAAAGGTCCACCCCTTCTTTACCAGTTAGCACCCCCAGACCAGTCAGACACTCACAACCTTCTTCCCAAAAAAACTGGACAAGGTACTCAAAAGTCAGTTTGTCCCCAGGAGAGAAGAGGACCCTCAAACATACCTAGCTCACCTTCGAATATGCACAAGCAGGACCACCATGGAAACCAGGCTTCTCCCTCAAGCATCATTTCTGAACCCTAAAGCACAACAGGCCCCCCAAACCATAGAACACCCCAAAATTTCCATTTCTCTACAGGTTCAGAGATCACTCCAGAGGGCACCTGTGGCCAAATCCAGCCTTTTCTGAAATATGAACCCCAAAACTAAATTATAACCCCAAATACATTTTACTTCTGATACTCTCATTCTAGGGTCCCTACCTTCAGATTAGGCCTGCCTAACCCCCAAAACTCATTACCCTCCCCCGGTTCACAGCCCCCCCATCACGTTTACCTTGGTTGTCACTATACAGAGACAGTCCATGTTGGGGGGCCTGGCCGCGGCGGCGGGTAAGGGGCTCTGACTTCATCGGAGTTTCGTTCCTCCCCTCCGCCGGTTCTCACCCCTCCCCCCTCCGCACCCCACTTTTGCAGGGGGGGCCAGGATGGGGGGAGGGGTGAGAGGGGAAGGAGGAGGTTGGAAAAAGGAAAGGTAGGGGAGCGTGGGAGGGGGAGGAAAGGGGCCCTAAAAGGGGGTCCCCAATGGAGGGGAAGGGGCTTGGGGAGCACACCCCGATTCTCAGGACGGGCGGGGGCAGTGGGGGCTGGTAGCCCCGGGGTTCGGGGACTGGGGCATGAGCTGGGATGGGGGAGGGGAACTGGATTTCGGGGAGCCCCGGGGCGGGGAAAGTCTTGCCTAACGGCCAGGGGCTAGGGGCCCTGCCGGGGGAGTTGGGAGGGGGGGGTTGGAGGCGGCAGCAGCAGAGGGAGCAGTGAAGCCGAGGAGGGAAAGGGAGAGAGGAGGAGAGAGGAAGCAGGGGGAGGGAGGGAGGGAGCGAAGAGCCAGAATGGGGGGGGGTGCCTTGGCAGAATTAACTCCTTCGGTGCTGGCAGGAACCCGGATAATGGGAAAGGCGCTAGAAGCAGAAGCAGATAGTCCCTGAAGCAAACATGGAGACCTGGTCAGCTACCATCGTTGATAGCAAAGACAAGGAGGAGGAATTTTGTTTTTCAGGCGAGGAGGCACTCTGAGTTGGGCTGGGAGCGCCAATAGTTGTTTTAATACCGGAAGGAGATAAATATAAGGTGGGGCAACAGCGGAGGGAAAAGGACTGATGGGACAGGATCCCAGGAGGTCTGGTTCTCCCTCAAGGTTCCCAAGAGGGCAGTAAGTAAATCCTGAATTTTGCTGCGACAGAAATGGGAGCAGGCAGAGAAAAGGGGGATGGGGAAGAGAGCAGGGGCCACAGGAAGGGAGTGAGTACATTCTGGGTCCCCAGCCCCCTAGGCCACTGACCCAGGATTTTCTCACAGGAAATTTCAAGTCCCAGTGTAATGTTAGCAATACTTCCCTCACCCCTCCAACCCCACCTGCTCACTCTGGAAGCCAGGAGTTCCAACCCTCCACCCCTCTTACCTGACTCTCTGAGATGGAAACCTCATAATATTCCAGGATGTCTGTCACAGAAACAGAACTGAGTTACCTTCCTCTACCCGAGGAGCTGTGGGCCACCAGTGTCATCATCTCTGGTAAAGTGGTCAGCATTGGTGGCCCACAGTGTTGGGGCACTCAACCAGCCTTGAACCAACTTTGACTGCCTTTAGAAGCCCAGGGCACTCTCTCCACTTCTGTTCCTCAGAAAATTGGTGTTACTCACCCAGCAAGGCCTGGAAGAGGTCACTGTGCAGCACTGTGAGGAGCTGGGGTGCCCATCGCAGTAGTGGAGGGGCCAGGAGCCAAAGAGCTGACTTGGGAGCTGGTGAAATGCAAGTGAGGGAGGATTGGGGAAAGCAGGAGACCAGCCCAGAGAGAGAGTCACACAAGACTCATTTCTCTTCCCTTACCCGTGACCCTTTCACCTCAGACCCCATGGAAAGATTGAGGAGAAAGATCTTAGAGTCCCAGTCCCCTAGTCCACTCTCCAGCCTCCCCACAAGAACCCCTGTCTTTCACCTCTTGGTTTCTCCGACATCTCTCTTCTCTAACTTTAATCTCGCTAATCCTCCTGGATTGGAGTTGAGCTCCCTTCTCACAACCCAATTTTAGCTGTTATTCTCTAAAATGACCTGACCTGCTGGCTGTTCCCTTATTCCCCAAGCCACCAGGAACTCCCACCAACTTCCTCAATACCCTAGCCTACTTTCTCCATAACCAGGAACTGTTTAACTGCACTTTCATGAGGGTCTTCCCACATGGTGTCCCCTGCTGTGCAAAGAAGATAAAGCAGACTGCTCTCTCCCCTGCCTGTATGGGATCAATAGGAGGACTATAAATTCTCTGGAACTTTGAGGCCCAAGGATGAAGAAGCATGGGAGAAAGGAAGGACCAGAGAACTCCTACAGTTCCTTGTGGGCCTGGCAAGAATCCGACTAGAGATCTAGCCTGGCCACAGTGATTAGAAAGTCTTAGAGAATGCAAGGGGAAAGCTGTAAGGCTAGGAGGAGCATTCTTTTACTGTGAAGTATTAGGTGTTCAAGAGTTAATGACACCTTCCTATATGTCTCTAAAGGATATATAAGTTTGGAACACTCACACCTCAGATTGTGTCCCCCACCTACCATTTCCTTCCTTTTTAGTTTTGATGGGAAGAGATGAATTTCACGAGGACTTTAAAGAATCATCTTCCTTGCCTCTGCCTCTCATACCTCGGTCCCCACCTTTCCTTTCCAACTCCTCCTGGGAAGTCCTCCCTTCAGTCTACCCTTCATTTGTTTGGATGCAGTCGCCTAAGCTCCTCCCTATTCTGTTTCATCCTAGTCTCTTCCAGTCTGAGGGCTAGACTCGGACAGGCGGGATTAAGGAGTTTAGGGGGTGCAAGAGCCCCTGGAACTGCTCCAGGTCCATCAGACTGCAGGGGCAGGGAGCCGGGTAAGAACTACAACTCCCAGGATGCCCCGGGGCCCGGAAACTCCCCCCGCCCACCTCCCGGTGCATTGTGGAGAATGAGTCAAGGGTGAGGGCAGCCTGGACTTGGGAAGGCGGGACGACAAGGCGAGGTCAGCCTGCACTCGGGGTAGCTGCGGCTAGTGCGGCGCGGAGATGCAGTCGGCTAAGATGGCCTCGGGACTAGGGCGACAGCTGCTGCGGCTGGGGGCCAGCAGGTCCGTGTCTGTTAAGAGTTACGGGGGGGCGTTGGGGAGGGGACTAAACTTTAACCGAACTCCCACTCTTCCAGCTCGCGGTCCAGCACGCCGCTGGGGCGGACCCTGTCCAGTCCTCCGCGCCGAGCCTATGTTAGCGGAGCCGCCCAGGTGAGTGTGGAGGCAGCCGTGGGAAAGAAGAGGGTGTGGGGGCAGGATCCCACCGGCAGGGGTCTCACTTCCTCCCAGCCACCTGCCGTTCGGGCTGTCACGGCAAGTAGGGGAAAGGGCACGTCAGGGTGCCCTGCGATGAAACTAGAGGAAAGGTGACGGGACCTGCCCCGCCCCACGCGCACACTCTCCCAGCCGGTTCTTTTGCTCTGCTTGGTGCAGGAGGCCCAGTGCCCACGTCGCTAACCCTCTCTTTCCCCCAGGCGGCGGTGCACAAGTCTGAGCCCCTTTCTTCTGATGCTTCTGCCAAGGAGAGCCAGGCTAAGGCGGTACGTGGCCCCAAATCGGGAGCAGCAGAGCTGTGGCTGTCACTTCCCCCTCCCTGAAACCCACCTTGTCCTTGCCCAGGAATCGAAGTCCTTTGCTGTGGGGATGTTTAAGGGACAGCTCACCACCGAGCATGTTTTTCCTTACCCGGCTGGTAAGGGCAGGAGTCATCAAAGGGGAGGTGAGGTAGGGGCGGTGTCCCCTAACTACTGCCTCAACTACCTCTGCCACTTTGCTTGCAGTGCTCAGTGAAGAACAGACCCAGTTTCTTAAGGAGCTGGTGGGGCCCGTGTCCCGTTTCTTTGAGGTAAGGAATGACCATGCTGGGTAGTAGCGGGTGGAGTCCCCAATAGAGTTTGAAGGACATGAAAAGAGCCTACATGTGGGATCCTGTCCTTTCCTAGGAGGTGAACAATCCTGCCAACAATGACAGTTTGGAGCAGGTGGAGGAGACCACCATGCAAGGCCTCAAGGAGCTAGGGGCCTTTGGTCTGCAAGTGCCCAGTGACCTGGGTGGTGTGGGCCTCTGCAACACCCAGGTGAGGGGACTAGTCACTCCGTGGATTCCTTGTCCACTCCAGTTTGGCAGCTTCAAAGCCTTTCCGCAATCCATGAGCCATAGTTTCCACCCACAACCTCTCTGGGGCCTTTGGATTAATAGTTTAAATACCTAAGCCAAAACCTACGGCTGCCCAGCCATTTCTAACTCCTAGCAGCCCTACAGAACTTCCCTGAAGGTTTTCAAAGCTGAAAATAGTACACCTGAGGAGCAAGTCACCGATAGATTCAGAGCTTTTACTTTGCAGCCAAGTGCTTTAATAGTGAAACTACCAAGGCTCCTGTATAATACACTCACATCACTGAAAACATGCAGAAACCTACAGCCATTGGCTTTACTGTGGCTCCCAAACACCAAAGTGGTGACTCTAGAAGGACTAGCAGGCCGCTTCCCTCCCTCCAGTACCTAGGACAGGCTTGGCATCCTCTGCTGTGCCCTTTCCTCTTTCCACACTCCAAGAATGACCCAATCCAGGCCCAGCTCTATTCTCTCGCCAGAGGCAGGTCCTCAGGCAGCTAGTTACAGCCCTACTCTCCCTCCAGTACGCTCGCCTGGTGGAGATTGTGGGCATGCACGACCTTGGCGTGGGCATCACCCTGGGGGCCCATCAAGGCATCGGTTTCAAAGGCATCCTGCTCTTTGGCACAAAGGCCCAGAAAGAAAAGTATCTCCCCAAACTGGCATCTGGTGAGACAGCTCTAGAGCCAGGGAGAGGGGGTGTCCCAGGATTGGCATAAATTAAGCTGGTTGGCACTTAGATCATTATACACCTGGACATTTTGGCTGGGGAATTGTACTGGTGGAAAAATGCAAAGGGGATTGAATGTTCCCAGAGGTCTCATGGGGCGTGGGAATTGCTGGAGGACTTTGATGCCCAACAGGACTCATGATAAAGGGGCTCTCTCCTCAACAGGGGAGATTTTGGCTGCTTTCTGTCTCACTGAGCCCTCCAGCGGATCGGATGCCGCCTCCATCCGAAGCACAGCTGTGCCCAGTTCCTGTGGAAAATATTATACCCTCAACGGAAGCAAGATTTGGATCAGGCAATCTTTTCATTTTTCCCTCTTCACATGTTTCAAATTCCGAGCCCCTCCCCCCCGCAGCCCTCCATGTCCTGAATGCCCCTCATTCCCCCATAGCAATGGAGGCCTGGCAGAAATCTTCACAGTCTTCGCCAAAACGCCAGTTAAAGACGCTTCCACAGGTGCCATGAAGGAGAAGATCACTGCGTTTGTGGTGGAGAGGAGCTTTGGAGGCATCACCCAGTGAGTTGGTCCTGCAGGAGCCGGCCTGAGCTCCAGGGCAGATGGTTCTATTGGCCACAGGACAAGGGTGCACAAAACCCCCAAACAGATGGGTAGCATGGTCCTGCTGAGACTATAGCATAGGGAAGCATGGGCTCCCAGCTAACAGTGGGCAACCCTGCACAGCCCCCTGGGGGAAAAAGGAGGTTATTGTACCCCCTGATTAAGTTTAGCAGGATGGAAGTTCCTCCCCTGCTAATAACGTACTGACTTCTCTACCTGCCCAAACCCAGCGGGCCTCCTGAGAAGAAGATGGGCATCAAGGCCTCCAACACAGCTGAGGTGTACTTTGACGGGGTGCGGGTGCCATCAGAGAATGTGCTAGGTGAAGTGGGGGGCGGCTTCAAGGTCGCCATGCACATTCTCAACAATGGAAGATTTGCCATGGCTGCAGCCCTGGCAGGCACCATGAGAGGCATCATCGCTAAGGCAGTGAGTACCCTGCTGGACCTCCACCCCTTGCTCAGACCCAGTGGCTAACTAGATCTGAGGTCCTGTGCCCTCTCCCCATGTCTTTGTTCCCTGTGGGCACTCCCTGCACGAGGAAACCCTGTCCCCACAAACAGCTCCTGACCAGGAGACCAGCTTAGGTTTCCGTCCAGCAAGGACTGGCCTTGTGGCTGAGGCCAAAGTATGCCTCTCCAGCCCCGCTCCTGAAGACTGACTGTGGGACCACAACTCACATGCCCTCATCTAGGTGGACCATACTGTTAACCGGACCCAGTTTGGGGAGAAAATTTACAGCTTTGGGATGATCCAGGAGAAGCTGGCCCGGATGGCTATGCTGCAGTATGTGACCGAGGTGAGGGCCCCTCTCTACCGCCCTGTAGCCTTCTCAGTCGTGTCAGACTACAACTCCCAGCAGCACCTGGGGCAGTGGGTCTCCAGCTTCACACCAATGCCCTAGGGGATGCGGAGAGGCATAGTCAGCTCTTTCTGTGGAAGGAGTGCTGGCCCTAAAGGTGCTTCCCAGAGGCTCCACCCCTAACTTTACCTCTTTCTAGAGGTCAAATACCTCTTGAGGACCCTAATGAACTGACTGAAGGGACCAAATATTCCGCCAAATGTGATACACAGTGCTTTAGGATGTGAACCCTTGGGTATTGTGGTGTTTTCCAGTTATTAGTCTTGGAAAGAGGTTATCAGGTCAAGCTCTGATGCCACTCCTTTTCATTTTCCTTCCTATGTCCTGACCACTCACCACCGCTCAGTCCATGGCTTACATGGTGAGCGCCAACATGGACCAGGGTGCCAAGGACTTCCAGATAGAAGCTGCCATCAGCAAAATCTTTAGCTCGGTGAGCTTCCAAAGCCATGGGGGTAGGGGAAGGGGAGTGTCCATTTTAGGAGCCTGGCTCCCAAACTAATCTTGTCTGTTTGCCTCTAGGAGGCAGCGTGGAAGGTGACGGATGAGTGCATCCAAATCATGGGGGGCATGGGCTTCATGAAGGTACAGGGCAGACCCTACAATGGGGCCTTGGCGGAGTTGGGCAGAGGGTGAGGTACCCCATCATCATCGGTCCTCTCCAATGACAGGAGCCAGGGGTAGAGCGTGTACTGCGTGACGTTCGCATCTTCCGGATCTTTGAGGGAACAAATGACATTCTCCGCCTGTTTGTGGCTCTGCAGGGCTGTATGGTAAGGGAGATGAGAACTGAGGCGGGATGAGGAGGAAGACAGTTAGTCCTCAATGTAGGATGGATCCTCCTCCCCCACAGGACAAAGGAAAAGAACTCTCTGGACTTGGCAGCGCTCTTAAGAATCCTTTTGGGAATGCCAGCCTCCTGCTAGGAGAAGCAGGGAAACAGCTGAGGCGGTAAGACCGGGGTTGAGCCTGGGGCCAGGGCAGCATGGCACCTACCCTTAGTCACCCTCTCCAGGAGGCCAGGCTGGGATGGAAGCAGAGGCAACTAACCTTAGTTCTCCACCTCCAGGCGGGCTGGGCTGGGCAGCGGCCTGAGTCTCAGTGGACTTGTCCACCCAGAACTGAGTCACAGCGGCGAGCTGGTAAGTGGTCAAGGGCCAGGAGCACCTGAGTCTAGGCCACAGGAAAGCCCCCTTGAACCTGTGTGCCCTCCTTTCCATCTTCAGGCAGTACAAGCTCTGGAGCAGTTTGCCACAGTGGTGGAGGCCAAGCTGATAAAATATAAGAAGGGAATTGTCAGTGAGTGAGCCTACCCCCCTCAGCCTGACACCCCTACCCCCACCCCCATACTCTCCACCCCCCTCACCCCAACACCCCTGTCCCATCCCCTCAGCCTGACACCACTTCCCTACTCCCCATTCCCCTGTACGCCCCCATCCCCCTCAGCCTGACACCCGTGCCCCACCCACTCTACCTGGCAGATGAACAATTCGTGCTGCAGCGCCTGGCAGATGGCGCCATCGACCTTTATGCCATGGTGGTGGTTCTCTCCAGGTGAGGGGCAGTATGTGAGCCTGACTGCAGGGCATCCTGGGCCAAGGTCACAGCGTTAAGACTTTTTTCCCTTCTCCTTCCCACCAGGGCCTCAAGATCTCTGAGCGAGGGCTCACCCACAGCCCAGCATGAGAAAATGCTCTGTGACAGCTGGTGTACAGAGGTGAGTTAGGGCAGCCTAGGTGGGGCTTGGGCACCCCGACAGCATCAACACTGTCCACTCTGCAGGCCGCAGCTCGGATCCGGGACAACATGGCTGTTCTGCAGTCTGACCCCCAGCAGCAGGGGCTCTTCCGAAACTTCAGAAGCATCTCCCAGGCCTTGGTGGAGCAGGGTGGACTGGTGACCCGCAACCCCTTGGGCTTCTGAGCACTTGCAGCCATGGCCTGACCCACTCACGTGCCTTCTTCTCCAGCCAAAGCCCAGGCGGGCCTCTCCCCTCTGAACCCTAATCCTCCTTGGAAGGGGCCCCCTGTCCCCAGTACTGTGCCTGCTCTCAGAGGGAGCACTAATCCTTCACAAGGAAGTTAATAAAGTTTCTAACAAGCCCCACTTGCCTCCATGTTCTTTCCCTTGGCTGCCTGCCTCCCTCCCAAAGAAAGGAGCCCAAGGCGGCAGGGAGTTTGCCTCTATTGCTTTATTTGGTGTTTTATACAAGTGACTAAAATAAATAGAGTAACAAAGGCAGCTACATGGCCCCCAAATAGCAAATACCCCAGCTTCCTTCATCTGCTGTCTGGGATGAGCAGCCCCTTCCTCCTCCCAGGGTACCGTGAGCACCGCCACCCTGCCCAGAGCAGAGCTGGCTTAGGAACAGAAGCGGGGTCACATTTCAGGGTTAGAGGAGGGGCCCAGGAGATGGGGATTCTTCATATAAAAGAGTAAATGTCTATATAAAAATATCCCAAAAGGTATAAGAAACTATTTTTTTTTTTAAATCCTCAAAAAAGTTTATAAAAAATAATAAAGCTAAAAATAACTAATGGTCCCTTGTGCACCCCCAAAGAAGAGTGAGGACCAGGCACTGCAGGTGAGTCACACAGTGGCCAGAGCCTCACAGAAGATTGGGCCAGAGGCCTATGAGCATGTGACCAATAGGGCCCCGCCAATCAGTGAGATCAGCGGATCTGGCAGCCACTGAGGGCTACATCACATCCACAAAGAACTCACTAGGGTTCCCCATGGCCATGTGGAAGCTTTGGCGGCTGGCTGTCAACTCAGGAGGCACAGAACCCAAGTCTCTGACAGGCGGGGCCCCTGGGGGCTGCACTGCTGGGGGGACGGGGGGTGGGGGTGGGGGCATCATGACCACCATCATGGGATTATAGGGGAGGGCCATGCCTGGGGGTGGCCCATAGGGATGGAGCCCAGGGTGGGTGCGAAGATTGGGTACACCCCCTGCTGAGCCCCTGGATGGGGGAGGAGCCCCGTCACTGGCACTCCCAGGCTCCCCACCCCGTCGGAGACTGCCCCCACGGCTGGAGGGCTCAGACTCACTGCCACTGCCTGACTTGGACTCTGGGGCCCGCTCCTCGGGCCTCCCTGTGCGCCCAGCACCCCCGTCGCTTCGTGTGGACTCACTGCTCCGGCTTCCTGGCGGGGGGTGTGCAAGGATGGCTGAGCCCCAGTCCAGAGTTCCTAGGCCTCCCCAGCCCGCTGTCCCCCCTTCCCCAGTATCTCCCCAGCAGTACCACATCTGGGGTGACTTACCCTCACTGTGCTGGCTGCTGGCACTGCCCCCGCCGTAGGTGTAAGATGAAAGCTCATGGTAGGGCGGGGGCTGGGGGCTGTATGGATGAGGGGCAGGGTACTGGTAGGAGAATGTGGGCAGCAGGGGCCAAGGGGTGGTTCCAGGCAGTGGAGCCAGGGTGTCCTGGTCTGAGGCACCGCTGGAGCCATCATTGTCATTCAAAGACAGGTTGACGAGGTCTGAGAAGGAAGAGATGAGGAAGTCACTGCTTAAAGAGGTCAGGACCCTAAACCTGAAAGAAGAAACCCAGGCCCAGTTTCCCCAGAACCACCCAGGGCAGGGTTTAACACAGGAGGTACGAAGGTCCCAAAGGGCAGTTCCCACCACTGCCATCAGGGGGAGCAGTGCCAGTGTGCCCAGTCCAGGGTACTTATGCAACTCAGAAAAGGCTTTTCTTCCCCCATGAACAAGGGACTGCTGGCTGTCAGTCACTGCCTCATTGGCCAACGCCCCTAATGACTATCCCATCTGCCACAGCAGCCCTAGCTGCAGGTTCCAGAGGACACTCACAGCTCTCACAGCCGCCACTGAGGTCTCCAAAGACGTAGTAACACTGCTCTGAGAAGGTGATCTTGTTGACAGTGTGGCGGATGAGGCCCGCCTTGAGAAGCCCGCTGGCATACTTCCGGGCCTCCCGGCGCTCCGGAAAGCCCTCCACGTGATGGTAGAGCCAGTCAACCACATCCGAGCCTGCACGCCAGAAGGGAAAGGCCTGTCTCTTCCTCAGCTCCGGCATCTTTTCCAGTTTTGGGGTCCTCCACCCCGTCCCACACACACTCAGGGTTCAGTCGCACCCAGAAAGGCATTTGGGATGGTGATCTTGAGCCACATGCGGTCCCTCACTTCCAAGCCAGACTCAGGAGCCGCCATGGCCTTGGTCACAGAAGCCATGTCTGTGTGGATGGAGAGACCTCGGCCCTCACAGCCTATTAGGAGAGACAAAGGAGTGTTTAGTTGAGAGTGACCCCCCCAAAGGGATGGGGGAGGAAGGCAGAACGGGTTGGGGTTCACCATCAGGCAGAGACGATCCAGATGTGATGGTGCTCATGGATGAGGAGCCAGGGTAGGCCGGGAAAGTGCCGGTCAGTGCCGCGGAGTGGGAGACCCAGGCAGCGGGATCAATCGGCTGGATAGGCTCATCTGGGATAGGAAAGGCCCCCAAGATGATTGATCGTCCCCAGAAGCCATCCCTAAGACGTCAGCCCTGACCCTCATCTACCCACGCCCTTCCTTTCCCTTTGGGCCCAGCCCAGCACCACTCTGTCCTCTTAACCACACCCCGCTTCCTACACAACACTTACTTCGGGGGAGTGTGAAATAGGCCTGCGGAGAAGGATCCCAACACTTGGCCACGGTCAGCACAATGGGGCTGCAGAGGGGGAAAGAAAAGGCCAGCTGGAGAAAGGGATGGGCTGTTGTTGCTGTTTGTGACACCAAGTCGATGCTGCTGCCCAGCAGCCCAGCGACCCTGCACGCCGACGCAGAACCATCCACAGTGCTTCCAAGGCTGAGGCTGCTCTCTTCCCTAATGGCAGGTCTCCTCACAGAGTTGCAGGGGGGTCAAGATGCTGCCGGATCAGGTCACACCATGAGCTTCACAGCTGTGACACCCCAGAGCTTTGGAAGTGAGTAGGCAGGACCCAGAAACCTCAGGAGAGCAGAGGCCTGCGATGAGAACAGGTATGTGGCCAGAAAGAGGAAGAGAAAACATACGGCTGGGCCACAGGGAAGGGTAGAACACAGCAGCACAATGCTGCCATGAGGCAGTGAGCCGCGACTCAGGGGCGGTGAAACCCCAAGGCAAACAGCTAAGTAGCATGGGCTCATGACAGCTCCATTCCCTGGAAGTTCCAAGAAGACAGAACTGAGCTATGCTGCTCAAGGTATCGAGGTAGAATGACCACATGCAGCAGGAATTTGATTCCAGAATGACAATATATGAGGGTGACTACCTCCAGGGGACCGAGGGGCTGGGAGCGGGAAGGGCACTTGGGGGAGTCTTCAGGGTATGGGTCTTCTTCTTCGGGATCTAGGAGTAGCCAGGCGGTAGCCCCTGGCACGCTTCACAGCGTTTCACCACTGCAGGAGAGAACAGGAAAGCGCCAAGGGCAGGTGGCCCTCGGGTGCTGAGCAAAGCCCAGGGGCTCACCCGGGCTTGTGTACAATGTCCCGAAGCACTCGGACAGCATCATCATTGCTCATGTTCTCGAAGTTCATGTCATTCACCTGAAAACAAGGGTAAGTGTGTCAGTGATAATGGAAAGGCCAGGACGCCCCACCCACGCCTGCAATGATGGGCCTGCCCCAACACACCTGTAAAAGCATGTCCCCAGGCTCAATGCGCCCATCGGCTGCCACAGCTCCGCCCTTCATGATGGAGCCAATGTAGATGCCCCCGTCTCCCCGCTCGTTGCTCTGGCCCACAATGGAAATGCCCAGGAAGTTGTACTTCTCTGTGGAGGGAGTCCATGTGACAAGCTAAGGTCCCAGCCCAACCCACCCAACCCAAAGGAGCTCGGATCCTCTCTGCCCCTCAATCCAGGATGCTTCCATACCCATGTTGAGAGTGACAGTGATGATGTTAAGTGACATGGTGGAGTCAGTGACGCTGCTGAAAGATGAGGTCTGCGGTGAGAAAAGGGGAAGAAGCTGGATTCTCTAACAAGCCAGGGATGAGCTCTAGGGTTCTAGCTGTCTGTGGCCTTAAACAAGGCCCTGGCCCAAATTCTCCTAGTGACACCCCTTACCCTCTCCAGTCGAGGCGGCCGCTGTTTCCTCCTCCGCCGGTGCCGTTTAAGGAGCCGGGAGGCACTGCTCTGCTCTGTGGAGCTGCTGAACCTGATGGGGGATTGGGAGTGTGTGATAGTTAATGTCATGTGATTCACAGTGGTTTGGCCAAATGCTACACTTAGAACTACAATGTAACCTAGCCACCTCTGGGATGTAATTTGTTAGAATCAGTGGATAAATTCCTTAACGTATGCTCTGACTTCAGACCTGGGGTGTTTTGACCGAACTTGCTCTCTCCATGCTGCACTTGTCCCCCTAAACTGTCATCCACTCTGAAGATTCTGGATGGGTCGGCACCCCATTATCCCATTAGCTTGCAATCCTGTGAGTCTATTGCCAGTCCTGCAGATATGCCAGGCCTGTAAAATTGCCATGAGCCCTTAAAGTAAACAGAACTGTGCTCGCTTCAGCAGCACATATACTAAAATTGGAACGATACAGAGAAGATTAGCATGGCCCCAGCGCAAGGATGACACGCAAATTCGTGAAGCATTCCATATTTTCGACCCTGAAATTAATCAGTCTGTAATGAAGGCTAACTCCTTTCACCTACAAATTTCATCTTTGGATACAAAGCTAAGTGGATAGTCCTTATGGAGGGACTGTTTAAAAAGAGGCAGGGAAAAGAAAAGAAAAAAAAGTAAACAGAACTGACCAACCAGTCCCTCTGTCTTTCTATATACGCACGCGCGCCTACGTCTCCAAGGGTCTCAATGGTCTGTTTCTCTACACAACTCTGACCAGAACAGTAACTGGGTTCACAGGGACCATAGAAAGAACGCAAGCACTAACTGGGAGGGAGGGAGGAAGGAATCTCTGAAGTCCTACCTGCTCATGGTGTCATCTTCTTCCGAGTCCCCCAGGCTGGTGCTTTCCAGCTCGCTAGTCATGAGAGTAGAGGAACTCTCGTACCCAGCCAGGTGCCGCTCCAGCCTTGAGGGCCCACTGGACCTGTGGCCTCCACCTCAGTAGGAACAGGAAGTTCAGAATCCAAGCTTTGTGCCTGTTACTGCCATCAAGGTTCAGGAGTACCCACTCCACCCCGCCTGAAGGCCTGGCCCCTCACTACCGTGTTCACTGCTGTCTCTCCTCCGAGGCCGCTCCCGCCTCAGCGACACCACAGACTCTGTTTCTGTCTCTGGCTCCAGGTTTTCACGGCTGCTGGAGATGTTAGGGCTGGATGGAGAGAGCAGCCACAACACCATCAGCGGGGCTGAGCTCTGAAACCTCTACTTCCCTCCTAAGGAGTCTGAGTTCTCATCTCATCTCATCTCCCTTCCCTGGATCCGAAGATGCCAAGAACTCACTGGAAAGATGGAGGCCTTGAATCCCCAATGCCACTGGTTCTCTCTGGTGGCAGGGCGGGTAGAGGTGGGGGCGGAGGCACCAGTTCTGGGCGGGGTTCACGGGCTGGGGGAGCCATCTCAGGTTGGGGGTTATCCGATGACACAAGCTGGAAAGGTGCAAACAACCCCAAACAGTTCAACTTGGAGGTGGGACACATGTGCTGGGAGTCAGCAAAAGGATCAGAAAACGGGCCTGGGTCCTAGAATCTAGAGCAGGCTGAGGGGTTCCTGCCAATGGCCTAAAAGGGCAGGGAGAGTGGAGCCGGGCCTGGACAAGTGGGCAGGGGAAAGGTCTGTCCACACAGATAGGGGTGTGGTGGCACTCTGCATGAGGACAGCCCCAGGCCCTCAGAGCCAAGGTCCCTTACCCAGGACACCACTCTTCCATTGAAGCAGGGAAGGCGGGCATTGTCGTCTGAAATTTCTTCCTTCACCACCCTGCCGAGACAAGACAAAGTTCAGGCGAGTCAGGCTCACTTTTCCCCGCTCCCTCTCCGTTTCAAAGTTTTTGGCATCTTCGTTGTGATCCAGCTCAAGGGTGCTGCTGGCTTTCTCTCTTGTCCAAACCCTGGTAACTTAAAATCAAACAGTTCCTTCCAACCCAAGGACTCTCCACAGTTAATGCTCCAAAGACAGTCTGATCTGAACTCATCTATCTAATCTTACAGGCCATCCATCCCCTTACAGTTGTCCTAGTTGGTCCTTGATGGTTGATTCCCCATCCTTCATTCCCTGTTTCAAGCCCAACTCCATCTATTCATGCATGCTTTTACATGTCGCTAGTTCAGGTCCCAGAAACCCAGCCAAATGGGCTGCCTCTGACTTGGGCTGAAAGTCCCAAAGGGAGGGATGCCCATCTTCTGAGTCCCCTGTGGCCCCTCTAACAGGAAACTGCCCTAATCAATCAGTCTGCTCAAGATGGGCCAATCGGACAGATTTCCAAGTCCAATCTTGTCACTCACTCTCCCTTGGATACTCAAATGTGACCTGAATTTGCTGTTCTCAATCTCCCTATCTTGAGTATCTGTTCATATCCTGACTGTGCAACACAATGCACTCAGTACACAACACATTTAGTTGTTGTTTTTGTTATGTGTTGTTGAGTCACTTGCAACTCATAGTGACCATATGTACAACAGCTCTGAATCCTACTTAACCTGTGCCAATCTTATTATCTCTGACACACCTAGCCTCGTTACCCTAGTTACTGAATCAATCCATCTCATCAAGGGTCTTCCTCTCTTGTGCTGTCCCTCCACCCTCCCAAGCATGACGTCCCTTTCCAAGGACTAGTCCCTCCTTGCAACATGTCCAAAGTATGTCAGACGAAGCTTCAGAATCCTTGCCTCCAAGGAGCAGCCTGGTCTCACCCTCTCTAGGACGAACCTAGCAGTCCATGGCACATTCAACACTCTTTTTCAGTACCACAGCTCAAAGGCATCAAGTCTCCTATCATCCACAATCATTATCCAATTTTCTGACGCACAGAAAGTAACAAGGCCTAGGCATTAGCAAATACTTGTTGACTAAAGGGACCATCTTTCACACAAACACCGAGGTCCTCAAATCAGGACATCCTGCCATCACCTAAACTCGGACTTTCATTTGTTGTTAGGACCACTGAGTCTTCTGTAAGTCAGAGATCCCAGGGACATCAGAGTTGAATCATGTCCTCTCCTGCACCACCCTCAGGATTGTCAATCCATCTTGTGGTCAACCTCAATTCCGATGGCAACTCCTACTCAATTGGTGGTGTCCTTATTCTTAACATTTTACTCCGTCTTACACATCAGGGTATCAAGGGACAAAAAAATCTGAATGAACTGGCCAAAATTATAATGCTGACAAATTGAAGAACCTTGACTTACATTCAACTTAACTTCCAAAACAGTATCACTCGCCCAATGTCAAGCATCCACTCCAGATCGCACCTGGTGGTATTGTGAGGTCCCACACAAGGAGTACGACCCATAGCAACCCTGTGAGCAACAGATTTGAACCCTGTCTGGTACCATCCTCACCATCTCTGTCACACTTGAGCCCATTGCTGCAGTCACTGTTGTCAATCCATCTGAAGGTCTTCCTCTCCTTCGCTGCCCCTCCACCTTCCCAAGCATGATGTCCTGGGCTATTCCAACCTAATTCCAACTTTCTTCAGTAGAGCTGAAGCAAAGGAAATAGAGAACTTAGCTTCAAAAGCTCTGTACGCAAATAATTTACTCTGAATCATTTAAAGTAGCCCAAGATAATCCAAAATGTTCTAAATGATTCCAGGCTGGCCCAATCTACACCAACAGATTAGAACATGCCCACGTTCAAGCTTGAGCTGCCTGAATAAATGTAAACTAAAATATCCAATACAGCTGTGTGTGCTACTATAGAACTCCCCACAGTGCTCTCTGCTCCTGTGCTGGGACCAGATAAGACCATGCCTCTCCAACAGAAACCGAATCAACCACATCTGTCCCTGGTAAGCCAGAAGGGCCTAAGTTTTTCCAGAACAGCTTTGCTTCAGGGTCACCTACAACACTTCAATACAAAACTGTCTGCATTACACTAAAATGCCCTGGAGAACAGAATGCTTGGTAGAGGGATGCTGAAAAAGAGGAGACGTCAAGGAGCTGGAGTAATTGGCTTAAACGTATCTACTCTGTAAGGATGGCACAGGACTCAGGAACACTTCAACTTACCCTGCCATACCTCTACGAATTGTAAATGACTCACAAGTATCTAACAACAGACATCTAACACAATCCTGTCTCTTCCAGTGTGGGCTGCACTGCCAAAACAAAAACTCACAGAGACTTAACTACAGCAGGAGGTTCCAGAATATCCGTACCTAACCTTGTGCCAGAAGACCACTAAGCTAACCAGCGGTCAGAATCACCTGGCTAAGCGGTGGCTTAGTTCTAAGGAGCTGCGCTGCCAGTTCGAATCTACCAACGGTTCTACGAAAGAGATGGTCAACCTCCCGCGCTATTTATAGCCTCTGAAAATCCAATGGAGATCACGGATTCCGACTCCAGAGCGTAACAAGCAGTGCATTTTAATCCCAAATAAACCAGTGCTCCCCAATCTATTGCAATGCAGCCTAATTTTCTCCATCGTTAACACCCAATCCAGGGTATCCTACAGCTCTGAGTATCTCAATCCTTGATGTATCCCAAGACAGTCAATCTATCTCGGCATAGTAAAATCTGTTACATTATTAAACAGAAAAAAAAAAAAATCTCAGTTTGTACCAATTAGACTCATGCGCCTCAACACCGCCTAATCGGTTCCAACACAGGCCTCATCACTGTAGGCCTCGCGCTCACCCGAAATCCTGATCCATAGACTTGAAAAAGTACTTCGCTCCCGCTGGCCGCTGCAAGACACTCTTGAAATCGCCGAGGGTAATGCGCTCAGCAGGCACTGGGATCTTCACCAGGTAGGGAGTCTCTTCCTCATCCAGGTGGTAGATCACCTTCGTCTCCCCAGCACCGCCGACCCCGGCGCCGCTGCCCGCCATGGTCCCGTCCGCGCGCTCCCGAGCTCCACCGCCCACCCAAAGGGGCTCAGCGCACCCCGCCGCGCTTGCGCACACCCGCCCACTGACGCGCGGGCACGGACGCGCCCCGCTCAGCCAGGGAGGTCCTCAAGGGAAGGAGACAACGGAGGTCGCGTAGCCCCGGGGCAGACGGCGGGACCTGCTGCGAAACTCGACCCGGGCCTCGGAGCTGCTGCGGGGCCGCCACCGCTCCTCACGTCACGTGACCCAACCCGGGCCACTCGGTATCTGCCGTGCCGTCTGTGCATCACGTGACCTGCAGCCTGGTCACGTGACGGCGCGGTCCCAACTCGCGCACCCACCACATGACGACCACCTTCAGCAACGGTATACCACCTTCTACGGCCCCGCCCCAAAACGGTGACCCCATCCTTAAGAGAACCCACACAGGTGGTGTCCTCTGTCCTCAGGGAGCAAGCCACCAGTCTCTACTCAGATTTGTCAAATGGTGGGTGTGGGTGTTGTGAGGATATCAGGCAGGGAATCGGGTGGTGGCAATTCCCAAGTACCTAAAGGCTTAGAGCCCGGGCCTTTCCAACTTTTGACTCTGAGGTGGTCTTTTCCATAGCCTCCCTCCCAAGCAGAACAGCAAGGGCTATAAACACGAGAGCCCACTCCGTTTTATTTACAACCAACAGGCCATCTGTTTAACAGCCAATATTATTAAAAACACAAGAAACATGTTCCTTTTCTGCTTTCCTTCCTCCCTCAACCTGGCTCTGGTACTTTACCTTTGAGCTGACATGCTCAAAAGGTAAAGTCTAAAATTAAAAATACAATTGGTGTATAAGAAAGTAAATGAGACAGGAGAAGAAACAATGTAGGAGGGGAGTGCTGCTATATTTACACTAGAGTTTTATAGACTCTATAAAATTCCATCCCAATTCCAACCCTGAACCAGAAAGTGAGGGATGGCAGATCCAAGGGGAAGGGACTGTGTGCGCCTAGTACCAACCCAGAAAACCCTTCACCCCCAACTGCAGTGGATCCAACTTCAAGTCCAGAGGATGGAATGGGAAGGAAGGTAGATAGGAACATGAGACACTCATTTCCAAGCAAGTCTCCCTAAGGAATCCCCGCCTTGAAGTAGGACTGTCCAAACTCCAGGGGATGGCTCGGAACCCTGAGGCTCTGTTCCCAAGTCTTCTAGTTTATTGCCGTCCTAGCTTAAAGGTGGTGATGTCAAGGCTCTCCAGATTTAGGGGTACCCCCTAATCGCCGGGCCTCTGGCCGAAGTTCCTTGCATTTCTGGCAGTAAAAGAAGTCAGGGACATTGGTCTTCTTAATCTTAGCACAGGAAAGATGGATCCACGTCCCACACAGGCTGCACTCTATCATGGGTCGCCCTGCAAAGGGCTTTCGGCAATAACACGTAATGAGATCCCACGAGTCATCACCTAGAGAAAAGAATGGTTATCTGATGTTCTGCCAAAGTTCTTGGGTTCCCAATATCCTTAACCCCAACCTCCCAGCTGCCTTTTAGCAGTCCGTCCCTTACCTGATTCTACCATGATGTCCTCATCCATGACCCGCATTTCGCCCTCACTAGAGCTGGCGTCTCCATCTTGGCTTGTTTCAGTGCTGCCCACCTCCTTGCTTTCACTGTCAGTGGGGGGAATTCCCTCAGGGGCCCCAGTGGCAGGGGGGCTAGGAGCCTCCGGGTGAGTTGGAAATACAGGGGCAGGGGCTTCTCCTCCTCCTACTGCTGCCATCTCCTCTTCCTCATCTTCCTCCTCATCTTCCTCCTCTTCTTCAGAGTCTGTATCACTAGTGGGTGCTCGGGGAGGCCCAGGAGGTGGGAGTCTATCCCCACGCTCTGCCTTTTTCAACTTCCGTTTCTTGCTCTTCTTGATTCGAGATCTTTTTTCCCCATCATCAGGGGCTGGTCGAGGCCTCCGAAGTACCCCAAAGCTAGCCCCCCGACCCGGCCCCAACTTCCGGTTCTTTCGGTCCTTCTTTCGAGAAGGCTGGGTAAGATCCCCCTGGGAAAGGGACACAGGGGTGAGAGTAGCAGGGGGCCGGGAAGCATGTGTCAAGGATGTGGGAGACAGAGGAGATGCCACTTTGGGGCCATCCGAATCAAAGAGAGAGTCCTTGAGCTTCATCTTCTCAAGTAGAGTGGCACTGTCAGGAGCCTGCAGGCGAGAGAAAGTGGACCTTGGGGGTCCTGGTTGGGTGGGACCTGACTGAGCCGCCCTTCTCTTGGATGACTTTGCTTTTTTAACAAAAGTCTGAATGGTTCGGAGATCTGAGGGGGCCGAATCCCAGCCATCACTGTCTGCCGCACTCTCACCTCGCAATGGAGAGCTGGAGCCAGAAGCTGGCCAGTCACTTTCCTTAAGAGGGAAAAGAGACGAGGGTCACCAGATGGTCCAATGGGACCTCAGCCCCTCCAGAAACTGAGCTTGAAAATGAGAGGCCAAAGCTACTCCTAAAATTTCCTGTCCCAACCAGAAAACTTCATTCTGCTCAGAAAATTCATCCATACTCCAATTTCTTCTTGAGCATTTCAATGTTACCTCTGCCCTCAAATTCTAGCGATCTATTCTATAAACCAACTATTTCTCCACAGCCTCATGTTACCATTCTCAGCTCTCTGAAACTTATCCAAACGCACTTTCCATTAATAGCACCCCCCAAACCATCCCAAATTTTCACTAATGACCCATGACCCAAAAGCTCATTCTTTCATCACTACTGCAATCAAGTTTCCAGCGGTCTGGCTACAGAGCAGCATTCCTTGTAAACCAAAAAGCCCTTATTTACATAAGGACCATCCCTAACCCCCTCCCCCCCAAGTCCAAGAAACCGGTCTCAAATTACACTTCTGTCCTACCTCTTTACTAGGGGGAATATAACCAGCATAGGCCAGTACAAAACTGCAGAATTTGTTGAAATCCTCAATCGTTCGTCGTCGTTTCTCTGGTGGCTGAAAGGAAGGAGGTAAGAATTACAATGAAGCCAAACACTACAATTTAAAAGGGCATTCCCATATGCCTAGTTCTTTTAGAATGGTAAAGTTGAGAAACATATATACAGAGAGGGGAAAGATAAGGATACCAAACTGCAAAGACTGGTGAAAACTCACCTGAGTCTCTGGTTTAAGAGTCGGAGGTGGATCTGTGAAAGCAATAAAAGCTGAGTCAAGGCACTGGATAGAGTCCATACAAAACCCCCACTTCCAAACCTTAGAAGTCCCAGGTGAACACCCTCCTTTCTGAGGTCCTCCAGCAAGCCCCCTGCTGGACCGGATCTACTCCTACTACCCTCTGGTCTCAGGAGGGGCCTGGGCTCCCGACCCTGCAAGGCCTCGCTTCAGAGCTCCCCCTTCCCCCTCCCGGAGGCCTGGCACCCTCGCGGCCCCCGCCACCCTCCACCGCGCCCCCCGCAACTCACGGTTTCTCCTGACTCCAAGCTACTCGGATATCTTAACTCCCCATCCCGATCACACCGCACCTGGGCCAAACCGGGCCGCAACCCGCCCTGTCCTTCACGGCGCGTCCGGTGCCCCGAGCTCCCCTCCGGCAGCTCTCTGCCGCCCGCAAGCCTTCTGGGACCACACACGCCACCCGCCGTCCCCAGGGTCCGGGAGGACCACACGCCGAACCCCTCCCCGCCCTCCGGCCCC